TCGAAAAGATGACGGTGGGAGCTCCGGCGCCGAAGGACCCTTTCAAAGACCCGGAAGCACTACTAGACGTGATCAAGAGCGCCAAAAGTGTAAGGGGACACGCGAGAGAAGAGTACGGGAAGATTTACGGCGCATTGGCACCTTTCTACTTTGACCTGGCAAGGGCAAAGAGCCATACCGATCCCATCGTTTTCCAAGTCTTCAGAGACCCCGAACGACAAGCCAAGATGCTCTCAAACCTGCAGACATTTGCAAAGAGCGACTGGGCGCAGGGCTGGAATCAGAGGGAGGAACGACTAATGACTATGACGAGTATTTTTGAGAGCGCTGTACTACGAGAATTCGAGCAGGGCTACGAGTCTTGGGACGTCGACAACAGGATGAAACGGTATGCCCATGTGCTGCACGCGCTGAACGGCGGCAATGCGGGAACAGAGCTCTTTGTGCAGAAGCACCCCATTTTCAGCGATGAGGACGTCTTGAGGGCAAACGCAGTGGACTGCATTAACCGGGCCAATCCAGACGACATCAATCTGGAGCCGTCGCGAATGTTCTTCGAGATCCTATTACGAAAGATGAATGAACAGGCGGAAGTTATAGAGCGGGTGTTTGCGAACCCCGACGTTGTGTTTTGGGAGTTGATGGAAAAAGTCAGGGAGGATATCATCATGGATTATGTCACGCCCCTTTTCGACGCTGCACATGACCGGAACTTGCAGGCGTATCTCAGGGCTGTGGCGGGGGTCTTTGAGCAGGGCATGCTTTTCTTTCAGTCGCTGACAACGCCAAAAGCTTTCAAGGGAAGTCTGGAGGAAAAGGCAAAAGAAATGATGCTACGAGTCTTTGAGCCACATCTCGACCTCTACCTACAAGAGGAGCTCGACTTCTTCACTCAGCACGCCGAATCAGAGGTAGCGGAGTGGGAGAAGAAGCTGTCGGAGCAAGACGCCTCGGTCGAGTCGTTCTACATGAGCAACTTCAACAGGCAAGCGGATAAGAAGGACTTTTTGAGTTCATTCAAAAAGGTCGTCATGATGCCGGTCACTGTGCTGCCCTCATTTGGAACCTCGACGAAACCCGTGACGCCAAATGGCACTGCTGCTCTATCCCCAGAACCATCGAGGCCGCATACGCCCAGCCTGGCTCCCGGCGTAGATGGGAACGGACGGCTGAGTCCACTGCCCGAGAAGGCACCGACTGACGAATTGGCGGCCAAGGCAGCCCTGATGGCGTCGCGCATGGAGGGTATCAAGACGCTCTTCAGTATCGAGGTAGCACTCAACCTAACCCACGTCGCCAAGACGAGCATGGCGCGGGCATCTAGCTTCATCAAGCTGGGAGGCCAATATGGCGAAGAGGCGCGGGAACAGTGCGAGACGATATTCGTGGTGATGCTTCGCATCCTAGGAAACAGGCACGTCAAGCCTGGCTTTGACAAGGCCGTGGACCACCTCTCGCACTACAATCCCCGAGAAGTCAGCGACCACAACCAGTCCGGCGTGGCGCCCCTGGTAACCTTTATCGAGCTCGTCAACGTGGGTGACCTCATCTCCCAGATGATTGACGTCTTCTTCGAGCAGCAGCTCGCGGGACCCAAGATTGCCGACAAGAACGACTTTCTCGACCCGTCGGGCATCGCCAAGAAGAAGTGGGAGCAGATGCTCGACGAGAGCGTCGCGGCGGGGCTGAACAAGGGCATCGACGTGCTCATGGACGAGGTCGAGTACCTCCACGGCACGACGCAGCAGCCGACGGACTACAACCCCACCGAGACGGGCGGCATCCTCGCGGACCCGGGCCCGACGCCGACGGCGCAGCGCATCAAGGAGCTTGTCTCGGCGCACACGCGCATGCTGGTCGGCAGCACCGACAAGTCCATGCTCGACGTCTTCAACGGCGAGGTCGGCCTGCGCCTCTTCACGGCCGTGTGCAAGCACCTCAAGCGCCAGCGCGTCAGCACCGAGGGCGCCATCAAGCTCATCGCCGACATGAACCTCTACTTTGAGTATATTCGCACCCTCAAGAACCAGGACCTGTTGGCGTACTTCAAGGCGCTGAGGGAGCTGAGCCAGATTTACCTCATCGACCCGCGTCACGCAAAGGAGATGGCCACCATCATTGCCGACGGGGATCGCTTCGAAGGCGTGTTCCGCGCCGAAGAGGCCTACGAATTTGCCCAGCGCCGGGCGGATTGGTATCAGGTCAGGAAGGACGTCGAGAGGGCCATGTACGGGATGGAGTGCTCGTTGATGTGAAAAGCTCGTAGGATGAGAGCCCAGAGAGAGACTGGACGATGCAAATGATGAGCAAAAAAATGAAGCCTTGATGTTTTGTGGAATACATAAACTAGATCTTCCCAGAACCGTTGGGAAGAAAACCCCCTTTAAATAGCCTGTCCTATCCTTAAAAGAATATACCCCCCGTCCCTTTACCCGTTTGCCTGTGCCGTAACGCCCGTGATGCTACATGCTTTTTGTTTGCGAGTGTGGAAGAAATTCGTAAAGACGGCGTGTAAGTGCAGGATTTAAGCTCCAAAGTTGAGCTTGCGAGCCACCTTGGCACCCCTATCCTCATCAACCATGCCGGGACGCCGCTTCAGGTCCGCGCCCATCTTTTCTTCGCCGCCGCCTTTCTTGGGAAGGTCCTCCTTGCGTGAAGGCTTCGGCTCTGTCCGCCACCAGTTGTGGTTCAGCATGTCTCGTGCGGTAATGCGCTTCTTGGGATCGAGAATGAAAGTCTTCATTAGGAGATCGACACCCTCAGGACCCACAGTGCCGAACATAGCCTGGTAGAAATCCTTGCCCTTAACGGGCTCGGCATCGTCCGGCACCGTGTAGGCTGGAAGCTTGGTCACTCCGGGCCAATTGTCCTCCGTCGGTGTACCGACGGCACGGCAGATGAGGGAAATCTGTTGGACCTCGGTCTCCGACGGCATGTACGGCGCACGAATAATGAGTTCCGCAAAAACGCATCCGACACTCCAGACATCGACGGCGCCACTGTAGTGCTTCGCGCCAAAGAGCAATTCAGGCGGGCGATACCAGCGCGTGATAACCTGGTTCGTCATGACCTGGTACGGGTCCGCAAAGCTCCGCGCGAGACCGAAATCGGCAAGCTTCACCTCGCCGTCGGCGGCGATCAGCAAGTTGTTGGGCTTGATATCGCGATGCAGGACAAAGTTTTCGTGGCAGAACCAAACGCCGCGGGTGAGCATGCCCATCCAGGCCTTGATATCTGCGGCACCGTAGCGGACGTTTGCCGTGTCCTTGATGAGCATCTCGAGGTCACCCAGGGGCAGGTATTCGAGGACGAGGTTGAGGTTCTGGTCCTTGGAGGAGAAGACGGAGAGGAGGGAGATGATGTTGGGGTGCTGGAGCTCTTGAAGGTGCTTCAGTTCGCGGACGGCATCGGGTGCCATGCCTTCTTGGTATTCTTTCTGGACCTTGATCTTCTTGATGGCGACGAGAGAGGAGGTATTCGATCGGAGGTGGCCGAGGAAGACGATGGCGTAGGTACCTTCTCCGAGTTTCTTGCCTGTAGGTAGTGCTTGTCAGCGAGATCCATATCTATCGCGCCATATGATCCGTTTTTGATCCCTCTACGAACCTTTGACATATTGCTTCTTCTCAACCTCGTTCATTTGCTCGGCGAGATCCAGAGTCGGGGCTGTCGTCGGGACGGGCGCGGCCTTCTTGTCCTTGGATGGCTGCGGGGTGCCATTTCCTGAGGAAACCTGAGCCGACGACACATTACGAAATGGCGAGCCGACAGCCCCCGCTGGCTTAAATGCGTCGGCGGGACGGACGACGAGTGGTGATGCCGACATCGTGGATGGCCGTGACTGATGTCGCCGCAATGTAGTCTTGGAGTTGATAGAGAGACGAGGCGACGGCTGAAGTCAGTAGGCAGTAGTAGCCTCGTCAGACGCACCGGACGATGATTGGCTGGAGTTGCCACAGCTAGGATCAAGCCACATTCCGGAAGGTGCGCCCCTCCCGAGCTAAAAACCGGGCCCGATTGGTTGGTTGATTCCAGTTTTGCATCACTGTGCTTTTTGCGGCAGCATTCGCGACTCGACCCTGAAGCTCTGTGTGTGCATTTCGACTGAATTGAACTGAAGCAGACTTCGGATGACAGAAGGCAAGTATGTTAGCCGGAAGAAACATCCGCGATGCCAATCGACATGGCAAAGTCTTTCCAGATCTTCCGTGTTCCATCGAACGCCTTGTTGCGCAAAGCCACATCATGATCCAACATCACCAGATCTGAGTTGGCTGTGTTCTCTCCGCTATCGAACTTTGCGCTCTTTGCGCCATCATCATACGCGGCGCGACGATCATTTGAGTGACATGGGCTCTGGGCGCGAAACGGAATTTACTATGGAGCGGCCCCCGAACCCAGCATATTTCCTAGAGCTACTGTGTCTGTACGAGCACTTTGTATTGGGGAAGCACCTAGAAATTGCGGCGGTGCAGCAGAACACATGCCCAACTCGGATGGAGCCGAGATGGTGGTGTTGTCAATTGTTGGTTCGCGGACATGGTTGTTCCCCGTCTCTCCGAAAGATGTGGCTGCCAAGGCTGAACATGCACAAATGAGTTCAAGGCCTTCCCTTGACCTTCAAGCAGGGTGTTAATGAGAGTTGTCCATCTGTCAGCAACCAACGCAGGTGGTGTGGAGGACTCAGAGAATGAACGTGTGGCCGATTCATTGATTCCATTCTGCCTGCTTCACCGAATGCAGTACCTGTAGCAAGGAAGAAAAGAGGATATAAACTCAAATCAGAGAAACAGCAATTTCTCGAATCAGGCGAGCTGGGAGCCCCGATAAGTTCCCTCTAGGTAGGCGCTTAATCCGGCCAGATTCACGGCGAATCGCGACTTTTGCGATAGCGAAGCTGCGGTCTAAGAGTTTGTTAGCCTGTACCATAGCAGGTAGGGGACCTTACGGTCGGCCGCGCCACTACGTCATCCCCTTGTTGACTTGCTCTCCCCGAGACCAATGACATGTTCCCCCCACAACGCGCGCCCCGGCCGGGAAGCTTGCGCACCAAGTGTCCGCTCCAAGTGCCGATCGAATCCATGACTTCAGAACTTTTTGGACTAGGTAGCTTGCAAGGGGGCTACCGAACGATATTGGCTCAATAATACCAGAATCTACTCCTCAGAGTCAGAGAGAAAAAGAGAGTGCGCCCGACCGCAGCACGCCAGCCCGGACCCATCGGGCAACCAACATACGGGTAACGGGACGCCGATGACACCTCTTAAGTCCGCATACCCGACCCCCGGGGACACACCTCAGTCCATTTTACTCTCTTTTCTCCAGGCACCGCCCGATGTTTGACGTAGGCAGGCATCTCCCGCGCAACATTCATTAAGGACCCCTCCCGCGCGCTCCCTTTCGCGTATGAGACTTACAGCCAACGACATAATACCTACCAAACGTGGTCAGACCTCCTCTTCGAGTTCTTTTTTTGTTTTTCACACCTTCAGCCCAAAGTCTCGTGATCCCTTCAAGATCTGCCACGAACAACGTTTGCGATAGTGAACACATGCTTTTTTGGTAAGTGATGCAGTCTTGAGTCCACTTTTCCCTACAATCGTCATACCTCGTCATCACCACTCCCAATTGGCGTCGTGAGCCTGGGTGTAGTACACCAACTGTACCCTCAGCGAACAGCCTCCTTTGGCTCAACACCGTCGTGAATCCTTGGCAGCACAAGCTTACGCCCTCACAGAAGGACAACATCCCCAAACACAAAGGCAAACACATACACACACACCTGCCCAACATGAGAATATTATCATACTGGATCTTCCCCATCATATCGGGCCTCGTCTGGCTCGGCATGCTCCTCGGCATGCTCCTCTACTGGATCATCGACACCCACCGCACAATCTACCCCTCCATGTCGCCGCCCCAGTCCATCGCCTACATCAGCGACGTCGGCGCCTACTACCTCAAGCCCCTCTTCATCACCGGCTGCGTCCTCACCACCGTCTTCCTCGACCTCTCCTTCTTTTCCGACCGCTGGCTCCGCCACAAGGGCCGCCTCGTGCCCAACACCTCCATCGGCGAGAAGATTCTCTACGGCTTCACAATCTTCTTCGCCATCATCGGCACCGTCGGCCTCATCTGTCTCAGCATCTTTGACACCTACCGCCACAAGAACCTCCACCTGCTCTTTCTGCTCTTCTTCATGGGCGGCTACCTGCTCTCGGCCATCTTCATTTGCTGGGAGTACCAGCGCCTGGGCATCAAGTACCCGGACCACACCTACCTCGCCGCCTCCTTCTGGATCAAGCTCGTCTTCATCCTCGTCGAGATCGTCCTCGCCATCGCGTTCATCGTCTGCAACTTTAAAGAGATTTACAACGCCGCCGCGATCCTCGAGTGGATCGTCGCCTTCATCTTTTCATTTTACATCTTTTCGTTTACCGTCGACTTGCTGCCCGCGTCCAAGACGAGGAACAAGGCGAATAGATTCTCGAAGCCAGGGATGAGTCAATGGACTGGCGCTGGACCGGGGAACTTTTAAGGAGTGAGGTTTGAAGAGTTTATGTGATAATGGGAATGGAATGGGAAATAGGATACGACTAAAAGAAAAGAGAAGATAGATAATGAACTGGCGGGAGGAGTAATCGCGGGCACGACGAAGCTCGTGTTGTATGAATTGGCATCTGCATACCCAGGGGACAAAGATTACGAACAGCAGGCGTTTTGGGCGTAGTCACTTTACGCACATCTTAGAATTACAGGTAGCATTTACAAATCCACTGTATACGTGCGATACAATATTACCGACCTTCTATTTCCATGTTCAGTGACGCAGTGGAAAAGTCAATTTGCATGTTGGCCGCCATGGACCTACTTCCGAGCGTATGCATACCGGTTGTTCTCATGCCATCTCAACATCGAATGAGAGGATAGTCCAGGCGCTTCAAGCGCAGTGCATAGACCGGAAGCTGCTCGTCCGCCATAATCAGCTTGAAGCCCGCTAGACGACTACATTGTAGGCTAAATACTACTGTCGCTGAGCCGCCTCGCAGTCGAGCGAGTATATCACAACCGTGAAGCATGGCACCTTGAGAGTTGATTTTCTTGAATTTGACGAATAGTACTATAGATGCTGATAAGCATACAACAATTGGGAAACGATGTTATATCTGTACGCTGGGGATGCCCCAACCATGAAATGCAATCCAACGCTCCTCGCTATAAACCCCTTTTCCACCCTCTGCCAAACTGAAGTATTCCTCCAGGGTGAGTTCCATCCATAAACGCCATCCATTCTAACCGAAGAAATGGCCGTTCGTTACCGCAAGTACCAGCGTATCTCAATCTATTCAAGATTCTCTCGGAACCGCGAATCCCTCGTCGGGCTGTGCGTCTTGTGTGTGTTCGGATCTCGAATAGCAGCCGGGGGCGAGACGGGCCCCTCGAGCTCATCGCTCGCCTCGACAAAGTGCTCCGACTCGGAATCAGAGCTCACGGGGCTTACGTCACCCTCCTGCGCCGTTGCCGACCTGGGCGTCGCGTCGCTACTCTTGCCGGCGATGGCAACCTCTCTAATACTGGCCGACCGCGCATCGCCGAGACTCGTCGCGCTCTCATTCGCGAGCCTAGTAAGCGCAACGCCGCCGATGAAGCCACGCTCCTCGGCATTCTCACCGGCCGCAGACCGGCCTCGCGGCCGTCCGAAGCGTGACTTGAGCCAAGTCTTCATTTTGTTCGTCGGCGAACCGCTGTCGCTGGGCGAGCGTGGGTTATCGCTGCCGGAGCTTTCTCTGTTCGTGTTGATGGCCCCGGGCTTGTGCTGGCCTGCGTGGGTGGTGCCCTGGTCGTCGCTCACGGGTGAGATATCGCTAGACTCTGCCGCGGCGACGGCCGAATCCGCCGGCGTGATCTCGGGGAGCTTGGACTTGCGCTTCTCCTCAGCCTTGGCGGCCTTTTCCTCTTCCTTCTTGGCTTTGAGCTCTTGCTTCTCACGGTGGCGCTTCTCCTTTTCTTCCTGCTTCTCTTGCGCTGCGATTACGTTAGAGGCAGTTCGATGCGTAGAAGGGAACACGCAAACGTACCAATGACCTTACGGTTGATCTCCTTAACCTCTCTGTCACGTTCCTTGCGCTTCTCTTCGTCTCTCTTCTTGGCTTCCGCCTCTGCCTTGAGCACCTCTTGCCGTTCCCGCTCGATGGCTGCCTTCTCGTTGATCTCGTCAAGCACGGGCTGTACTCTCCTCGTAGCAATCTCGTCGACTGCCGCGGGATCCATAAACATGCCGCCGCCAATGTCTACCTTGCCCCTATTCACGTTGGCAGACTCGTGCTTGGCCATGGCAGCCATCTGGGCCTTAGACTCCCAGTCGCTCTTCCGATCGCTCTTTGAGCTGGGCGCTACCATACCGGTCTCGGCGGAGATCTTGTCGTCCATGCCCTGTAGGCGGGCCTTGACGTTGCGTTGGGCTGCTGCTAGTAGAGCCTCGCGATCCTTTGTCCGCTTCTGCTCGTCGACTTTGGTCAAGTTGGATGAGAAGATGGACATTTCTCTCCGAATACGCTCAGATTGTTCCTTGTCGTGGCTTGCATCGCCGTCGCTTGAGGATCGCCGTCTGAGCTTACCCTTCATAGTAAACCTCCGCTGAGGCGTGGTCTGGGTATTGCTGCCATAGTATTCCTGATAGTCCCGGTTCTGGTGATGCTCCACATGAAGTTTCGACAAGCGCTCTTGCGCTAGCTTGTATGCCGCTTCCTGGAGGTTGACATAAGGTTTGGGTTGGGTATCGTCAGGGCTGGTCTCTCCTGCCGCTTGGTGGACTCGTGCCTGGTCGACCATCCTTTGCTGTTGGCTGTACATCTTTTTGGCCATGGCCACCGCAGAGGCGTGGAGAACGTCGGCTCTTTTCTTCTCATCTTCTTCAGGTCCGATAGCGGGCTTAGAAGTGAACATACTCCGAGGCAGGTTTGTGTACGGAACTGAGCCAGTGTTCTCAGTGGGGGACTTTGGCTTCAAAGAAGGGCTGTGAGCTGCTGTGGCGGCACTCAAAGCGTTTGCAGCAGCTCGTGATTCCCCGGGGTAGGATTCCTTTGGCACGGGGGTCGATTTGGCTCGTGGCCTTGTCCTCCTGGACGCGGGCATCGCATTTTGGGCTGCTGAAAGGGAGCCAAGGCCGGCGGCGGCGGTAGAGGGTGTCTGGGTGGGCTGTCTGACTGAGCGGCTTTGTCTAAATGCCTGGTTCGCAGCGCTGCTTCCCCAAGACTCGGTAGCAGGCGGAGGAGGGGTCGTGTTGGTGGTGGACTGTTTCTTTGCTGAAGCGCTGGCCAGCAGAGCAGCCTTGGCGCCGGCGGAGCTTGAGTTTGGTTCCCACGATGGTGCCATTTTGTAATCCTTTGCGAGCATAGCTGCGGTTGATGCGGAGTTTGACTTTTCGGGTTTCCAGAGGTCGATGGATTTTTGGTTTGCCCAACCTAGCGATGCGGCAGCTCCGGCAGCAGCTCCATCGGATTTGAGACCGGGGGATGGAAAGCTGGGTAGATCCCGCGGGTCGGCGTACTTTAATCTTCCCGAGTGGGCTGCTATATTCAGGGAAAAGAAGGGTTAATGATTAACACAGATGCTTTCTTTATTCGGGCCACTCCAAATAGAAACCTCGTATTCTGCAGGAGAGGATGAGGTAAGGTTTCAAGTTACCTGTGGAGGGTACCTGGTACCGTGTTTCCGCCATGCCTGTGCTTGACTTTTGCTGCTGCTGCTGCTGCGGCTGCGTCTGCTGCGTCTGTTGCGTCGCTGTCTTGGAGGAGCTGGCTTGCATCATTGCCAGCCCAGAGCCGGCTTGGTGGTATCGATCCCGGGAATATCCACTTAACCGCTGCGGATGCCTGTTCGTCACAGGGCGAATGTACCGTAACGAGGATGTATGATACAGGGAACGGAAGGTCGAAAAGTGGGAAGGCTCGCAGCGGATTTGCGGCTTACACGCGGGTTGAGGTAGACGCGTGAGCAACGCCGTAGGTGGATTGACAACCGAAAGTCGAAGCCCGACTGATGTTATTTCTGGGCCTGCTTACCCTTCCACGAGTGTCGCAAGAGGAATCCGTATCACGAGATGAGATGAGCCGTCGTACTAGGGTATACTGCAAGAAGGATGCGCCGAAACTTGGGAGGTCAAGGAGCTTGGATACTTGCTTGGGTAAACCAAAGAGCAGAAAAGTTGACCGAGAACGACGTCGAGGCGCAGGCGGGGGGTCCCGAAAGAGGGCATACAAGTTATATCATACAGCCAGAAGCAGATCTTTCTGGTTCAAAGGGGCCACTTGGGTAGGGGGGCGTGGGCAGGTGGGAAGACTCCCCGTCTAGCTAAGGTAGGCTGGCGGCGCGGCGCGAGCGAGCGAGCGAGCGCACGATGAGGTAGTAGGTATTGCTTTCCCCCAAAGAAACTGGTGAGCGGGAGCCGGTCAATGATGGTGATACGGCGTGCGCAGTTAGTGCTGGTGGCTAGTCATAGTGAGCTGCGACGACAGCAGCGCCTTACGTCATGCGGGGTCCCTTCCCTTCCGTTTCGGGCGTAGCAACCTGCCATCTAGCACCTCTGCCCCTGTCAAACATCCACCACACCTCCCCTCCCCAGCTCTTTGAATTGGGAATTGGGGATTCCATTTCCCTTTGCGAACGACCGAACGACCGAATGACCAGGTCCCCGAGAGATATTGGCAAACAAACGCACCACTAGGCCACTGGCACCACTGCGACATAGCATACAAGCCAGCATGGCCCATCGTCCGCTCCGTTGTGGCTTCGGTCCAGCACCCGCCCGTCTCTGGAGTCGGCCAGTCCGGACCCTGTCGCGCTGAGTGGCGGATCGGGTTCCAGCCTTAGGATTGGGCAATGCGACCACTCAGGTCTGGAGCATGAGCTACCTTACCTTATCTAGAGTCTAGGCCATCACCTGTGACCTGGATCACCGAGCAGATAGAGCCTAGCCCTGTGGTGTGTCAGTTGCCCACAATCGGATCTACCTCTACACCTTTCACCGACTTGGAAGCCCGAGATACCGTCCGTGACGAAGACCACAAGAGGGCGGCCAGGAGACTCCCGTCCGTAGTCAAAGACAGGCACGGGGTCCCAGGCCGATAAAGAAACAAAGCCATCGAGAAGCCCGAGATTCAAAAGTCTGAGATGCAAGCTCTCGGGAGGCTTGCTGTCTCGCTCGAGCCTTCTGATTCGTTTGATGGAATGGACTGCGCAGTCAGCCACATCTCGGATTATTGATGGATGCGTTCTGCAAGCCTCTGCAGGCTGAAGCAGCGTCCAAATTTAGCTTCAACTTGAGGCGTTGAGTCTGGCATCTAGCGCAGGCAGCCCATATTCATCCGATATCATGGAAAGCAAGCTGTAATCCGAAAGCCCAGAAATTGCTGGTCACGTTGCTGTGGCTCTGATGGACCGGAAACATTGCATGGAAGCAGCAAGAAGACTGAGCTCTCTCTTCCGGACCTCACAGCCCAGACCGCTCACAACGTGCGAGTTCAGGCCGCAGTCGCAATTCCTGGGCGCAGATCACTCACTCTCATAATTTACCCATCGGTGACATCAAAAGACAGTCTCCTTCCCTCTCACACCCCGATCTTAAGCTTTTTGGAGACGTGCAGGGATCTACCAGCCCTGGCTAGGGATCCCAGCACGTCCAACCTCACCTCGGCTCCCTATCCGTCATTAGATTGGCGGGCTGGGAGCCTGATGGTGAATGACGGTAACGATGGGAAGAGGGCCCTACGTCGCTTACACGTTTCCCATTCCGATGCTCCGGGTTTCTGTTCGACGTGCCAAATCGTGGCGTCAGCCCCCCCTTTCCTACACATTTCACACCAAGAGCTGCTTGCTACCTTACCACACACACACACATACACTATCACACCCACCACGTCTTGCCAGCCATCCTTCCAGCTGTCTGTACCGATACGCGCCGTCGGAACTGCTAGTCTCCAGCCGTTGACTGCTGACTACCGGTGTCTGCAGCGAGCGCTCTCTCTATACCGAACTCATTCAGAAGCTTTGACATTGTCAATCATGGACAATAGGGGGATCACGTCTGTCCTCAACTTTCGTGATGTCGGCTCAACGGTGAACAAATTTCTTGGAAGAAGGTATGTCATTTTCAGGCTGATCTACCCTTACCTGCACTGAACAGAGGCCTTTGTGGTGAGTTGAGGCTAACATCCGTGCGTTTTGCTTGTCAGACTCGTAAGGGAAGACTTGGTATTTCGTTCCGCCAGACCAGGTATGCCACGCGACTCACAATCCTCGCAAAACACGTTGATCCTCGGTGCTAATTTTCTCCAAGACGATGCCACTTTGGCGGACAGAAAACGCCTCCGCGACGAGCTGGGCATCAAGGCGGTGATAGACTTGCGCACAAAGTAAGTGCATGTGTTTCCATCCGTGAAAACATAGAAAGACAGAAAAGACCTTCCTCTGGAATGCAAGATCTCGCACTCTGACCAGTGACTGACGACATCTTTTCAGAACTGAACACGTCAAGCAGGCCAAGAAGCGCGAGGCCGATCTCAAAGTGCCCACCCTTCTGGAGTCCAACGCTGCACTAGCCGAGCCATTCCAGATCTCGGGTCTGACGTATCACGAGATCAGAATCACTGGCGGCAACTTTGAGTGGTTCTTGATCAGACAGGTATCTTGGTGGGGTTTGTGGTGAGAAGTCCCTGGATTCCTATTCAAGATCCTCCATGGCGGCTAATTCGTCATACGCAAACTTTAGCCGCCTCATCTGCCTCTTTACTCTCGGCTACCGCAATGAGGGCATCTCCATCTTGTCTCGGGAGGTAATGCTGCCGCGTGGCCTAGTTGGTCTAGGCCTTGACACCCTCGACCAATCTGGTGAGGAGATTGCAAAGGTACGATTATACCATCCATTGGCAGCTTGGTGCGGGTACAGGCATCTGACGAGCTTTCATGCGCAGGCTCTCAGAGTATTCATCGACCCGGCAACTTCACCGACTCTGGTCCACTGCACACAGGGCAAGGATAGAACCGGGCTGATTGTCAGTCTCGTTCTGTTCATCCTGGATGTACCGCTCGAGGCGATTGAGCATGACTACATGCTAACCAGTGGTGCGCTCGAGTCTGAGAGAGAGGAGAGACTGGCCGAGATGAGAGAGATCGGTCTCACAGACGACTGGTTCGAGACGGCGCCTGACATGATTGCTCGGACGGCTCGTCATCTCGACGATGTCCATGGTGGGCTCAACGAATATCTGGACAAGATCGGCTTTGGCCAAGCCAATCGCTTGAAGCTTCGGGAGTTGCTGTTGTACTGATCCAGCCTGGCTGAAGAAGACTTAATTCGTCACCCAAGCTCCGCACAGCAATACAATAGCCCATAGGCAAACCTCACTCGTCTCGGAGCCTGAGTGATGTGAACTTTGGCTTTCTCATTTCTTCGTGAATCGTCCTTGCATCCAGCATCGGTACATCTTGAGCTTACGAGCCCTGTTGACGAGCATGCGTCTGTCGACACCAAGGTCATCGACGTTGAATTCGACCTTGATGTCGTTATCCGACGCTTCTTGTGTCTTGCCAGACCAGATTCGCTCAAGCTCTTCCTTCTCGAAGAAGTACACTCGAGTGCCGTCGCCGCGCACGTAAAAGTTTTCATCCAGATAGCGTCCCTTCTTGAAGCGCACTTGGGCAAGGTCACCTCTTCCATAGTCGCGGAAGCAGACCTGGCCACCCGGCTTGAGCAGACGGTGGACGTTGGCAACAGCTTGGTTCCATTGATTCGGAGCCAAGGCGGAGAAGATGAAAATGAGTATAGCAACGTCCACAGATCCTTCTTCCAGCCCGGGAGGGAGCTCTTCGCTCGTAACGTCCCAAACGTCGGCTTGCATATGGTCTTGATTGTAGGATTCATGGGTCCGCATGACCTCTACGGCCTGCTTCGAATAATCACAGGCATGGACTCTCAAGTTTGGGTTCTTGTTGGTTGCGAGAATGGGAAAGGCGGTGTTACCCGCACCGGCGCCTATTTCAAGAATCGTTTTCTTGCCAGCGTCCTCCTTGGTCACCTCGGACAAAATAGGGAACTCTTGCTGCAGCCATTTTCTGTTTTTGAAGAAGTTGGCTGTGTTGTTCTTGTAGAACAAATCCCACATCCTGGCTGGGTTGTTGTTCAATCTGTCTGAGGAGTCTTGTTAGCAAGCTGTACCAAAGCAAGCGTCTTTCAAAATAATGGGTATTGATAGTGGTGTAGTCAGATGGGAGCGAAAGACTAATTAAGGAAAGTTTCATCATAGAATTCAGATGAACTATGCGTATTGCTGGGGTATCATCATAACACCGGAGGATTGGAAAAAATCGAAATGCAGGAATGTAAACTTACTTTTGTCAAAGTCGGAGACCGGAGACTGACGCTGCATCTCGTACTGCTGCTCAGAGTACTCCTTGTACACTTCGTCAGTCTCGACATGGTCCCAAGCGTTGAACTCGAAGACATCGTCCTGCTCGCCTAGTAGGCGACTGCCAAACTGGAAAGGATCGCTCCTCTTCTGGTTGAATTGAGGATCATGCGACCTGTGAGCCTCAGGCGCTTCCTCGGTTGCAGGTTTGGAGATCTGGAGCTCTGCCGCCTTCTCGACGAGAACTTGCTCGTCCGCTCCCGTGTTCTCAGACGCAAGAGACGTCATCCCACTGGTGTGAAGCCGAGACGAACTTTTCGACGGGTTTCACGACCGGTTTCTGTGTCGGCAGCAGCCTGATTCCCCAAAGTCCCAAGTGCTGGTAGACAATGAAGGAGTGGTTGAGATAAAAAAGCTTTTGGAAATTTTCTCACGCGTCGAACTTTTTGTCTCTGGAAAAAAAAAGTCGTGGTGGGACCCGACCTTCGGGGCGATGAAGAGCCGCCAGCCGATGCGACCAATGCCCGATTGTGATAGACCCACTCACCACAACCACCATTGCCAGGCGCCAGTGGTTCAGAAGGTATAGGTACCTTAGGTTGGGGAAGGAGCTTAGAATCGGTACGTACCTGAGCTAGAACTGTTCGTGGATTGCGACTGCCTCCCATGTCCCCCGTCAGGTACAGCCCGGCCAACTTAGATAATCCTCAATTAACGTCTACCCGTTGACGACACCTGATCACGCAACCTCTATCATCTGCCTGTTATTGATACACATCTCGTCCGATTGATACGCAAACCGGTAGACCTGACCGCGACAATGGCTCCTTCGCTCATCCGCCCCCAGGGCCACCTGTCCCCAGCCGAGGCTCTCGAGCTTGCCCAGAAAGCACCTACGATTCTACGAAACAACCCGACAGCGTTCTCATCGTCCCCCCTTCTTTCGCTCTTCTCGGCCTCGGAGACGCCAGAGATATGGACCATCTACGAGAACCTCCTTCTGGCCTGCCTGCGAACGGGCGACAGCCAGGCAGCACACCAGTGCCTCGAGAGGCTGGTCATCCGATTCGGGAACGAAAACGAGCGCATCATGGCCTTCAAGGGTTTGGTGAAGGAGGCGGAAGCTGATAATGATGGAGAACTTGCACAGGTACTCAAGGAGTACGAGACAATACTAGGACAGAACGCGACGAACATTGTCAGTTGCTCCTCCGCCACAGTTTCACGGCAAACGCTGACCTTGACAGCCTGTTGCGAAACGTCGCGTCGCCCTTCTGAAGTCGACAGGAAAGACATCTGAAGCAATTGCAGCCCTCAATGGTCTCGTCGACTTCAACCCTACAGATGCGGAGGCGTGGGCGGAGCTTGCCGACTTGTACCTTTCACAGGGGCTATACTCACAAGCTATATATGCGCTCGAGGAAGTGCTTGTGCTGACCCCGAATGCATGGAACGTGAGTGTCTCGTAGAGTCGATTTCTGATTGTGTTTCCGGCTGACCACGATTAGATGCACGCTCGTCTCGGAGAGGTATTATATATGGCTGCATCGGCCTCTGAAGGCTCTTCACAGCAACAATTGGCGGAATCAGTCAAAAGATTTAGCCGCAGCATCGAGCTCTGTGATGATTATCTCCGGGGGTACTACGGACTGAAACTGGTGCGTGCCACAACGCGTGATAATGGACCGGCAATTGGGACTGACATGCTCTTCAGGTTACGAACAAACTTATCAAGGAACCGTCAAAGCCGTCGAGACAATCAGACTCGGAGGATTGGACCCTTCCTGATGTCGGTACGTTACAGAAGCTCAACGAGCTAGCAACGCAAAAGCTGGCCGACATTGTACGCCGCAATGGAGCGCATGAGAGGCTCTGGCAAGGTTACGATGAGTCGGAGGTGGCAGCAGCCCGAGATCTGCTCTCGAAGGAGTCGGTGAACCTTGTGAGATGAGCAGCGCGTCATCCGAACACGAAAAGCAAACGACCCTGGATTCTCTCATATCGTGACTGCATGGTCACGTTGACGGATTGGCATGCCAACGGGCGTGCTTCATGCACATCATATTAGGCGAGCAGTCATCATCGGTACAGGCTGTACGTCGGAATTAGCAAGCAATCGGAACATTCAAATCAAGTAGTTAACGAAGCTGTGCCTGCAACAAAACGTTCACGTGCTACTGGCAATGCGCGAGTATCCTTGGCCGGTCGGCCAGCCAATCGCGGACACGTCGCTCAACATTGGAACACGAAGAGACATTCAGCGAACAGCGGATCGTGTTGCTCGGGCGCTATTGTGGCCGCAATCGATGTCGAGACGAAGCTTGGGAGACTCTCTAGCTATTGGGCAGGAACAAAAGCGAGTCTGGCAGTAGGAATGTTCCACACATAGGCAGAGGCCGCCGCCAATACCGTCGAATGAATTATCTACCGCTCTCTTCTATAGCCTCGAGGTCCATTGATCCCGCCGCGGCCACACCCGCAGTCGTGCCCAATTGTCGCAAATTGACACTCACTAGGGGGCAGGGCTGCATGTCATCCGCGGTTCCAGGCGTGCCGTTGGGAGCCCGATGGGCCAAGGCGGCCCACAAGATGCGCTGGCAGTGAGTCAGTGAGTTGATCCACGGATGGATCTCAGGCACCGTCATTCGGGACCCTGGCTACCTATGCAGAACAGAGTGCGCCGGCGTCATGAATTAAGACCCGTCGGGCAACGACGAAGCGATTTCGGGCTCGAGGGTCGTTGGCAGAATGGACTGACGAGATACACCAGTGCCAATCAAGTTGCGCGGTTGCCTTTGAGGTGTCACGTATATATCCGGGCAGTGCCATGTAAGTAAGCCGAAGGCAAAAAACAAGCACTTGTGTCGGTACCAAATTCTTTGACCGCCCCTGTTATCCCCGTATTTTCTGGATTTGTCTGGCGCTCTAGACGACGAAGAGAGAAGAATAAGCTAGAAGTTGAGAGACGCCGACGAGACACCTACCACCACAAGAAACCTACCACAATTCGGACCAGTCATCTGCGGAAGACAAGCGTTGTTACACAAACTTTGTTGGTCCGCTCGAAAGATTACCGCCGCCAATTTTTGGATCCGCCTACGCTTCCAAACCATGTCGTGTATTTCTGAGAAGACTATTACTTCTCGAATTATCAAGCAACTAGACAAGACCAAGTACCAATCACACGTCAGGGGAGAAACCACCTGAGGATACGGGAGCGCCCAAGAATTCTTTGCCCAACATTGTGAAAAAGAAAACTACCACTGTTAGTACCGCTGTTGAGATTGTATCGATGTGTTGTCATGTGAAGCAGGCTGCGTGATTGATTGCATAGGACTGCTACCGAAGACGACGGGTATGGAACGACAGAGGGTCCAACGATTCAACCGCGGTGGGGACTTCCATCGCTGAAGGTACACTTAGTACCTAGCGCCGCAGAGGGCGGGAGGGCGGCTGGGTACGGTACCTTGGGTTGATTACCTATGACCCGGAAGTGAGCGGCGCTTCCAGAGAGCAACCAACATGGAAGGCCGAGAATTCGAAAGGAGGCTGCGGCGCTTTCCAACGTCGAATTCAACTCAAGGTACCTTGGTTACTGCGGCTGTGCTCCGAGAAACGGTGAGAGATTTGGGCGAGTAAGACGTGAGGGTGAGGGTGAGGGTGGAGGGGGGAGCCACAGCTGACTGACGGCTGCCTGGATTCCAGTTCATCAAAGTCACTGCGAAGACGGGCTACTAAGAGTGTAATGCAGGATATTACAAGTAAGAAAGGGCAGGTTGAAGTAAGGTGAGGTAGGTAAGGTGAGGTAAGGTACGTTCATCCTCGACTTCCTACTGGTCCTCGGAACGGCGCAAGGCAAGTCGATGAGCCCGAATGGCCGGGCATTGGCTTTCGGTGGCCCTAAAAGCAGGACGGGATGTTTCTGCACTAGGGATTGCGTACCCAAAGCAGTAGGTAACGAGCCTGTCGACGCTTCCAGGTTCCATCTGCATTGTTGACGAGTGGTGATGACCTGCGATAGAGCAGAGAGGCCTCGTCTTCGCCCCCAACCCTCGTTCATCCCTCACACCCGTCGTCGCCCGTCCATCTGCCCCTCCCTCCCTCCGTCTCTGTCTCCCTCCTTCTTCCGTCATCCAAATAAATAGTTTGCGCCGCCTCATCCAGCCTGCTCACACTCACACATTCTGACCGCCGATTTCTTCTGCCCTGCATTTCTGGCTAATTTTCTTGTCGCCGTCCAACGTCCCTCTCTTTTCTAACACTGCAATTCCAAGCAGCAACAACGGCGTCAAAGGATCCTCGCGCCACTTTCGCAAACGAGACAGACAAAGCACATGCTCTTTTTACTCCGTACCTTATTACTCCAGTACCCTCTCAACCGGTAGCCCCACCAGCATAAACGAACGTCTAAAGAGGTCCGTCCCGCAACGGAGCCACGCTTCGAGCACGTTCCTCACCGAAACATTGAACCACCAAAAAGTAAAAAGACATCCACTCTTCCCCGGCCAGAACAGTCCGGCGCAGGACCAGCCCAGGCACGGCGCATTGAGAACTGACAGAGCTGGTACTTTGCAGTTGCCTGTGGGTAGGTGCATTCTCTCGGTACCAAGTCACAGTATCTCCTTTTTCCCTGACCTAATTGTTTTCCCAAGCCTATCAATCCAAACCAGCCTCAGAGCAACCCAAATCAACACGAAGGAGAAGAGCACTATACGAATTGCTCACTGCTCTGTACCGCCGTATCCCAAAAGAGACGACCCTTTGCGTCTGATCTGCCATCGCCCGTCCCTGTCAGGTCTCAGGTCTCACATCCTACCCATCCTTCCTCAAAAAGGTGTCTCAAACCTCACCACACCCCCAAAAAAGGGGAACCAAGTAAACAAGGTACGTGAAACGTTAGCTACGGTTTCTATCGATCTTCTGGTCGCGCTTCAACTTTCCTCGCGTCTCTGCAATTCCTCACCATCCCACACTCACACATTACTCATACCGACGCAAGTGTGTGGTGTTTCGTGATTCTTCATCTGTGTTTCCGTACCTTGACTTGGATTGCAATTCTCCATCTGCATCTGTGTCTGTATCCCCTGTCAAGAAGCTGTCAAGTGCCGGCTACCTGCAGGCGGTCCGCAGGGCAACAAACTATCCGTTACCTCGGCCAGTTGCCGACCTCGATTGTGTTGCTTACTTTACATTTACCCCTCATTCTGCTGTCGTCGTTGCCAGCATTGTTACTTGTGATGGTCGATGTGCCTATCTTGTGGAAGTAAGGTACAGACGGCCACCGCAGACGACAATTGCCTTGGAGGCTCAGCCAACTATGTATGGACCAGCTTGTTAGTGGCTGTCTGGACTCATACAGAGTACACAATAGCGTAGAGGAGGGGCAACATTGCAAGTCCATGACACACCCGACATTGACAATTCTATGGACGGCCGACGCAACCCCCGGCCAGCGGAGCAGTGCTCACTGCTGACAGTCATACAATGACAATCGGCCACCCACTTTATTCTGTTAGTCCATTGGATCTGTTGTCCATGGGCCATGGCCCATCTCCCGGGGCACCCAAGTGGGACAACAAAGCAAGGGGGTCGAGAACGTCGGCCAGCCCAGCACCCAGCAAGGCCAGCACCCATCCCTTCGTCCCCATACGATGGATGGGACCGATGGGTGCCTTTGGTGCTCCATCCTCTCTCCCCGTTTTCTCTGCCCGGCGATGGTCACGGCGTTTGCGATGCGAAGATCAGGGCTTCTTCTTCTTCGTTCTGGCACCTCGGATGACTGAAGCCTGCCTGCACTGCACCAACCACAACTCTTGGTCAATTTGGCTTGTGCCCTGGTTAACGATTCCCTCTCACCTGACCGTTTTCCCAAGTCCCTATTACCAGTACTTTCCTTAGCCTGTACGGCCTGAGAGCAGGCTGACAGGATGGGATGGGATGGGATGGCGGGGTTGGGTTGGGCTCGCCCTGGCTGGTCGTAGTGACCGCCATGAAGAGCCATTGTGTTTTTTTTTCTTGGTGTACATTCGCTTCCCCTCCACCCCCTCCCCCTCCCTCCCTTCTCCATGTCTATTTTATCGTGTCTGTGTCTGTGTGTCCATTCCACATGATTCACCGGAATGTGTGCTGATCTGAGGCTTGTAGCTTAGGTGGTATCAGTACCCCCAAGGTGGTCTAGGTATTTTGCTACTGCGTACTGCGTACTCCCACAAAACGCGGCATTACGGACGGATACGCCTTCTAGTTGCTACTCCGTAAAGTACCTAGTGCTTGGAATTGAAGCTCGAGGACTCGTCCGCTGTGTCCACCGTTGCCCGCTTTTTGGTTTTGCTCTCACCGACAACCCCCGTCTGTCGGCTACCGGATCCCTGAAGACCAACCGCTTAATCAGGCAATTGCGGTGCCCAGCACGAGATTCCCTCTCTTCCCGCTCCGTCCAAAAGTGGGACGGGTTTCTTCCACTTGGCTGGCACCCTCACTCTTTCTCTCGACCTCTCGACTTCTCAACCTCTCGACGCAGCAAGGTACTTCTGCTGTGGACATCGCATCGCATCGCCACCCCGACAGGCTTTCTTCTCTAAGGATCTCTCTTTAGGGCTCAGAGTTGCCAATTCATACCGATTCGTCCAGACCTGAGCTGCGGCTTAGGTTGTGCATGAGGTGTACTTCGTGCCTACTACACAGCACTCCTTCTTGTACCCCCGTACGCCTTGGCTTTGGCCTTGTCTACCTAAAAGGCTGTCTTAAACGGAGCGGTCGACTAGACCCGCAATAGCTGCCCAGCTGCCACAATTTTCCTTGCACCCAATCGCGCTTCTTTTTGCGCCCAACTGCACGATCTCGCCAAATAGCAGGGGGCTTCCCTGGTTACATTCCCAAGCCCACGAACGAATATCCACCCACCGACTGCCGCCCTGCCCACCCCTCAATTTTCGCAAACCGTCCGTCTCGTCTCGACTCGTCCTGCAACTCAGTCCTTCGCACAGAAACTTTGTTTTCTTGAAGTCTGCCGCCGCCGTCGCCGTCGCCTCTCTTACCGCTCTACGCTGCTGTCATCTGATCGCTTTGCTTTGCTTTGCTTTCAATCTTAACCGTCAACCCATCCTATCCTCCCTTTCCTTCTTCCGCCACCAGTTCGTTGCTTGGAATCCACCCACCCTTGTGCGAATTGCGCCAGGACGAACGCTGTACCCGACCTACACACCATCACATTCGAGCCCTCGACACCGAATTCCTGTTGGTTTCCCATAGAGGAACCCCGACTTTCGCCCACCCTATTTCATCCCACGTCCTCGCTCGATTCACCCCTTTGCTCCGACTTTCTTGCGAGATTGTCGTGAGTAAAGGGTCTTTTTCTTCGCCACAGACTTCCTCATGTCGTCCGCGTAAGTCTTATATTTTCAACTACGCCAGGGACCAATCGACTTGGTGGCTTTCACCATACACCAGTCAACTAACACAACCGG